TCTTTGCAGGGAGCTATAATGGAGAGGAAGGGAACATGATCAGTTATTTCAATGGTTTAAATGAAACATCTAAGGCGGTGGCTTTGGCAGCGAATAATGAAAACGGAAAGAAGATGAATGAAGTGGAGCAGTCAACCGAGAACTTTGAAAAAGGCTAAAGGAAAGCTCAAAAGGGGATCGCGTAAATTGGAAGCTCAAATTTGGCCCAACTTGTGTTCTCTGCAAGTCTCTTTCTCTCTCCTACAACATTACAAGATAATCAGCAAAAATCAGTTAATAAAAACAAAACCTATGTATCACCCCAATTTCCAGATCTGGGTTCGCCCGAACCCATCAACACTAAACAAGATCGGAATGGTAATGGAACTCGGAGAGCAAAACGTTTTTACATTGAGTCAAGATCCTAGTCCCGCAATGCATATCAACCACCACAATCACCAAATAATCAAACGAAAACCAGCTTGGAAAACAGAAAAAACTCTAGTTGAACTTTTGAAATCAAATAGAGGATGAAAATATGAACCTGGAGAAATCATTAGGACGAGCACCATGATATTCAACACCGGTAGCGTAGCCTAGCACCACCCACTCGAGCCATATTCCGGCGGATTGGGGTAGACTTTGAGATTTGATTTGCGGTGTTCCTGGATCTGTTAGGCGGGCAAGTGATGGGTGATGAACGACCAGATCTGGAAGAGAAAAGGGTGAGGAAAATCGAGGTGAAGACGATGAATTTGTTTTGTTGGGGACATCGGAGGTGGTTTCAACCAAAAACCCACCGTTTATCCTCCAGTCTGAGGCATTTTACAAAATAATAATTAAACTCATAGGCATGGTTATAATTATATACAAAATGAGTGTGGTCATACGAAATTTTTAATATTATCTTAAATAATATTGGTTCGATTTATTTTAAATGCTAGAAATAACTAATAGCATTAAATATCAGTTGATAACTAATACAACATAATATTTATTAATTAATATATTTAAATCAATCTACAAGATAATATTTCAAAATAACATAACTAAATGTTAAAAAGAAGAACTAAGATTATGTGTCTATATTTTTTATGTGTGTGATAATAATTACACATATTATAATATTACATGTTCACAAATCACAAGACAAATATCATAATCAGAAATGACAAATACATGAAGGCATAATGCTATAATGTCTACTTACGGGTGCTATCAAACACATTTTCCGGAGGAATCTAAAGATATATTCAAGCAAAACCAAAAAATTTTCTTTATATTTACATTATATGTTTATACTTATTTACATTTATAAACTAGATAATTTATTCTATTAAATCCTTAAATTGGATTCAAACTAGATTGGAACTAATTTCTATGTGTTCACACCTATTCTAACTTATATAAATTGGACAATTTGCTCTATTAAACCCTTAAACTAAATTTAAACTAGATTTTAATCAATTTTTATGTGTTCACACTTATAAATTACATAATTTGTTCTATTAACCTTTTACAAATAAATTATTAAAATTAAAATCCTAAACTTTTTTGTATTTAGATTGTGTGTTGACATCTATTCACATTTATAAATTATATATAACTTTATTATTATTCTTTAATTCTTTAATTTATCTTAAAATTAAAATCTTAAAAACTTTTTTGTATTAGTATTCACATCTATTTACATTTATAAACTATATATAACTTTATTATTATTATTCTTTAATTATTCTTTAATTATTCTTTAATTCTTTAATTATTCTTTAATTTACCCAAGAACTAGATCTGAACCGGTTTCCAACCCTTTTCACACTACTTTTTTGCAATTTTTTTTAAAGTTAGAACTAGCTGTTAAACCCGCTCTGCGGGTGTAGTATTTGGCCCATCTTTGTAATGGCTCAAGTTTGAACATGTTACAATTATTAAGATTCTATAGAGTAACGAATATAACAATGTGGAAATCTAAATCATGAGTCAAAAATACCAGTTGTTATTATTAGAAAATAACCATACTTTCACAAAAATAAAAGTTTTGAAATGTCCTAAACCTGGAACTTATTTTAATTAAAATTTTATCTTGTCTCCCTCTTTGAAGCTACAACCACAAGGCACACCATTTTAATGCATTGGGCCATCAATGTATGATATTTTCTTCCAACTTCAGGTTCAAAAGTTGTCCTAAGGGGTGGGTAAATCATTCTACTTGTCCTAAACATCAAAAATTATCAAATGAAAGAAAAGAGACAATTATAACAAACAATCAGTACAGCTATACAAAGGAACCTTAAAATTAAGAGAGCAAAGACCAAAAGGAAAGAAAGGGAGAACTTGCCCAGCTGCCACAGAGAAGCATATTTCAAATTTCAAATTAAATAACCTAGTGGCTGCATTGATTTGCCATGCAAATTCAGATTGCAACATAAATACATCATAAAAAACTGTAGAAAGTTCAACAACTTGTCACACCAAAGAGATGATAAAACAGTGAATCAGTCCTAAAGTAGTGAAGATCACAACCAAAACCACTTCAAAAAAGACATTGTTCAGCCCAAATCAGCTTGTTGCTGCAAAAAGATAATGAGACAGAAAATCAGTCCTAAAATATTGAAGATCAGAACCAAAGCCACTTCAAAAAAGACATCCTTCATCCCAAATCCCATTACTTGAAACCCAAAAAAAGTGATTTTTATGGTGATCTTCTAAAAAGTGGTTTTCATGCCTTGATATTCTACAGCATAGTTTGAGGTTTTGCAGAAAGGACATCTCACAATGTTGAGAAATACAAATGTAGAAATAAGAATTGGAGTTCTCAAATTGAATGTGAGTGATGATACCCAATATTTAAAGATTAATTGGACAGTGATGCTATCATGACAAATGTACTTTTTAACTGAAAAAAGTTGAAAGTTGAAAGTTGACAATCCTTAAAAGACAAAGATAGGGGGGAGGTGTTGAAAGTAAAGATGAATATAAATACTCTCCTTGAGTCATGTGAAAGATTAAGAGACAAAATAGAAGGAATTGAAGATGATCGAAAATGAAATTCCCATACCCAACTAAATTATAAACATATTCCTCAAAAGTAGCTAATAAGTACTAATAAATCAAAACCCTCCTAAATCTTCCTTACTCTTTTTGTTATCAATTTGAGGTGTGACTGATATTTCTTTTTAAACAACCATATGGTAAACAATTTTGATGTTTAAAGCACAAGATACCTCTATTCTCCTGATAACATATTTGACGTCAGAATTCAAGTTTTCTGGCAGGTCATCCAAACAAACTGAACACAGAACACAGCCTGAAAAGAAAAGGACAAGTAGATTCAATCAATCAGATGCATTGCAATTGACAAACATAAATTGTAAAAAAGATTCTATGAACCTGCTGCATGAAGCTAATAAGCTACATCAAAAGCCATATCTGTCAATTTTTTACTAAAAACAACCACCAAATTGCAAAAAATTATATTTTTATG